AAAACAAACTGTGAACACCAGGAGTATATCAAACTATACAAAGTTTAATAACATAAAACATAAAACAAAACTACACCAAGCTTTCGTCGGACTCCTTCCGACTTCGTCAGGGTTACGTGCCAGTCCATGAGAGAGTCTCTTTTATACGCCATCCATCATCTGCGCCCNGCCGGGCGCAGATGATGGATGGCGTATAAAAGAGACTCTCTCATGGACTGGCACGTAACCCTGACGAAGTCGGAAGGAGTCCGACGAAAGCTTGGTGTAGTTTTGTTTTATGTTTTATGTTATTAAACTTTGTATAGTTTGATATACTCCTGGTGTTCACAGTTTGTTTTTGGAAAGATATATATATATATATATACAGTATATATATATATACACACACACACATATATATACACACATAAATGCACCTTGCTGCTATATTTAGGATGAAATTGCTTAGGCTAGCTCATTTGATGTGATAACACTGGAATAAATCTTTAATGTATAGGAGAAAGAGCTCTTCCTAGTTTGCAATACATATATTTTTGTTGAGCTGTAAAGGACAGTAGTTCTCAACCTGTGGTCTGTGGACCCCTGGGAGGCCATGATGTTTTCACGGGGGGAGGGGTCTGCAAAGGTCTGAATAAATGTTATGGTTTAAATCTTGAATTAAGTCTTGATGGTCAGTGGCCATGGTCCATGGCCACAAAAGGTATTTAAAGGAGATCCATGGTGAAGAAAAGGTTGAGAACCAGTACTTAGAAGATGCATAGGCATATCTGCCATTGAGCAGAAGAGGGGCAGAAGCCAGTGCCATTGTATCTACCTGAGAACAAGGACACAAATGTGCAGATTCCAGCCGCTTGTTTATGTGCAGCTTAACTAACTCCATCCCTCATTTGCACGGCACTCTTACATCTAAAAACGTTTGGCTCTAGTTTCCAAATATTATTAGGAGTAAAATCTTGGCTCCTTTTACAGGAATCAAGATACTTACGATTACTAAAATAAAGAACAGAAATCAAATATTTATATATTGCTACTAATCCTCTCCACTTATGTCTTATGGCAAGCACAAAGAGAAGAAAGATGCTAATTGGAAAGGTATCTTGGCATTTATTGTAAGCTAGCCAAAGGGAAGGAAGTAGCAATTGGGATAGGCAATTCTGTAATTAAGCAACATGGTTGCAAAGTGAAACATCAAATGACTTGCTTGTCTTAAGGCAGGTGTCAAATTGCCGGCCCGTGGGCCGGTTTCATCATACCGGAGCCGCGCCCACCCCATTGCCGGCAATGGCGAAAAAGCTCCGCGACGTCACGAGTTTGACATGCCTGTCTTAAGGCATCAGTTCCAGCTGCGGTTGTTAAATAGTTCACTGCAGTTCTTACGTGCAATGTCACAGGACCACGATTTCCAACTTCCTGCCAGCTTCCCTCTTGACTGTGTTTGTTGACTGTGAAGGTGACAAATGTTGGTCACAAGATGTCTATGGAGATTCTCAGTTATTCAGGTCACAGTTGTCCCAAAGATGCTTTTTCATGAGGCAACTGTACTTTCTTGTTTTTATTTGAAGATGCTTCGTTTCTCATCCAAGAATCTTCTTCAGTTCTGACTGGATGGTGAGGAATGGAATTCCTTCCATTCCCCACCATCCAGTCAGAGCTGAAGAAGATTCTTGGATGAGAAGTGAAATATCTTCAAATAACAACAAGGAAGTCCAGTTGCCTCATAAAAAAGCATCTTTGGGTGAGCACAAGATGTTGTGATTATTGTAAATGCATGCCTGTTGCCAAACACCCAAATCATGATGCCATGACCGCAAAGACACTGCAAGAGCCACAAGCTTGAAGACCAGCCTTTTTAGTGCCACTGTGACTTTGAATGACCACTGAATGAGCAGTCAGTAATAAGAACTACCTGTAAATAGCTTGGAGAAATACAACTTCTTGCAGCCTATTTCTTATCCACTGGGAAAATTTATGGCTATGGTAGGAACTATCCTTATTTCATGGACCAGAGGTGAGGAAAGTGCATCACAACTTCTTGGAAATATACACAAATTAATTTTCATTTAGACAAAATAGCAGTCGAGGTATGATCCATCCAGTGAATTCCATGAATTCAAATAGCTCAAAAGCCATGAACACAGATCAAAGGTACATTTGAGTTCATAATGCTATTTGCAATAAACTGATTATATGGATACAAACTTGAACAGGGGTGTATATTGAAACCTGCAGCAACTGTGGATTTTGCTAGAACAATGCAAAATTTCCACCCTTGTAAGACCCGCCTCACTGATTTCAGTTATTCCTCACAGAAGAAATAATGCATGAACAGATCACTAGATCACTAGAATCTTTTGTTTGCAAAGTTATTATGACTATTTGAGACCAGCAAGCAGGCATTGAAACACCAAAGTATGTTATGAACTCTGTCAGTTAAAGAAAGTTAAAGAGTTTGGTATTTGTATACCATTCCAGTGTTGTGGTTTTTGCTTTATTTTGTAGTGACAGTTTTGATATATGTTTAGAACCTGTATAGAACAGAACAGAATGGAACGGAACAGAATAACAGAGCTGGAAGGGACCTTGGAGGTCTTCTAGTCCAACCCACTTCTTAGGCAGGAACTCCTATACCATTTCAGACAAATGGTTGTCCAATCTCTTCTTAAAAACTTCCAGTGTTGGAGCATTCACAACTTCTGGAGGCAAGTTGTTCCACTTATTAATTGCTGTCACTGTCAGGAAATTTCTTAGTTCTAGGTTGCTTCTCTCCTTGATTAGTTTCCATCCATTGCTTCTTGACCTGCCCTCAGGTGTTTTGGAGAATAGCTTGACTCCCTCTTCTTTGTGGCAACCCCTAAGATATTGGAATATTGCTATCATGTCACCCCTCGTTCTTCTTTTCATTAAACCTGACATACCCAATTCCAGCAACTGTTCTTTATATGTTTTAGCCTCCAGTCCCCTGATCATCTTTGTTGCTCTTCTCTGCATTCTTTCTAGAGTCTCAACATCTTTTTAACATCATAGTGACCAATACTGGATGCAGTATTCCAAGTGTGGCCCTACCAAGGCATTATAAAGTGGTATTAACACTTCATGTGATCTTGATTCTATCCCTCTGTTAATTCAGCCTACAACTGTGTTGGGTTTTTTTTAGCAACTGTAGCACACTGCTGACACATATTTAAATGATTGTCCACTAAGACTCCAAGATCCCTCTCACAATTACTATTATTGAGCAGGTACTACCTATACTATACTGTACATTTGATTTTTCTTACCGAAATGTAGAACCTTACTTTTTTCACCACTGAATTCACCACATCTGCCAGTTCCTTCCATGTGGTCCTAGTGATTTGAACTTGTCTAGGGTAGACAGGTACCCACTTACCATTTTCTTGCCTATTTTAACTTGTGTTTCTAATCTGTTTTTTTGGGTACTGTTTTTGATAGGTTGGTCTGTTTTTTCCCTTTGTGTAAAGATAGATGCAAAAAATGAGTTAAGTAGTTCTGCTTTCTCCCTGTTGCTTGTCACCTTCTTGCCACTTTCTCCCACTAATGGACCAATTGTTTCCTTGACTTTTTTCTTGTTTTTTACATGTTGAAAGAAGGGTTTTTTTGTTATTTTTTATTTTTGTTTCAAGCCTTAGTACATTTTGAGCCTTAGCTTTCCTCACTTCATCTTTGCATCTTTTGTTTTTCAATTTATCAGAGAGTTCTTTATGCAGCCATGCTGGTTTCTTTTGAGAGCAAATATTTTTCTTCTTCATTGGTATTGTGCTAGACTGGGCCTTTATAATCTCACTTTTCAAAATTTCTCAAGCTTCTTGAGTTGTTTTCTCCTTGAGGATTCTCATCCTCAAAAGGTAGACTAAAAGAAATCTGAAGTGAATTGACATTTTTATAATGATTAAATATATTTGATGATCTATGGAAAATAACTAAGATTCACTTCTCACAAGATGTATTATTACCTATATACTATGTTGTTGTTAATGTCATTGTTAATATAAAAAAATTAAGAATTTATTTTAAACAGCAGCATCATACTGAAGAAAAAAAATCTAAGGTAAGTACTGCATTGTGAAGTAATTTACATTTATTTCACTGATTCTCTTTAAAAAGCTATTTAGCACCACCAAATGGCTCAGCAGATATATTGTTAATTTAAGTCCATTTTGCTGTTCCACATGCACTGTTAAGATTAATGTACATATTAAAACTTACGTTTACCTATACACATCATCAAGAACCCTGCTGTTCTTGAATGAAATTAAACAAATAATTGTTTCCAGAAAGTTGTTTAAAGAAACACTGTGATTTGACAAAACATGCTACAGATTACATAAAACTGAAATAGAGAATTTCAAATAGTAAGGCTGTGGAAAGGCCACTGAATAATTTTATAATTGAACCATTAGCTTCTAAGTAGCCAACTCTGCCTTGTGTGAGTCTGGTGAACTGCCCAACTCATTTGAATTCTGAAGAATGAATTAAAACAAGGAATCCCTCCCTTCTCACCACCTATATAGTACAAGAAAAACAGATGCCTAACTCCACCCATAACTTCTTTGTGTTTTTAAATCAGGGTGGAATAAAATCTGCAAAAAGATTATTTATCAGGAGAGAGGAAGTATATGAAATGTTGTTGAAAGCATTGCATGGATTTTGAAGTTACTGCAGCAACAGCTTGTCAGACATCTTCTGCAGCATTCTCAAAGTCCACCACCCACCCATTACCCTTTGCCAAATAACTTGACTGCACTTCTTGCACCCACCATCTTCTTAATCTCTTTGGAAACTATTTGTAATAGGGTAATAGAGAAAATAAGGGAGGAGAGCAAAGTACAAGCAAGTATAATTAATTAGTGCATGCTGGGGAAGACAGCAGGGACAGAATACAGAGAGCTGACTATTTTGTAAGGTACTATACAATGCCTGCAATAGACCAAACGAAACCATGCACTTTTTTAGAGCATCTCAAATAATTCAATTCATCCTACCTGAATGCTTCAACAATGATCCTTTCTGGTAACTTTGGCGCAACAATACTGAAAGCTTTTTTGAAATCTTCAAAAGATAAAAAACCTTTACCTTGTTGAAAAATAAAACAGAAAAGGGGATACAGCTTGAAAGATGCTTATACTTAGATGTACATTCACAAACCAAGACTGAAAACTGAAATTGTTGATCCACAGAAATGAAGAGCTTCACAATGTTTTGGAAAAGATAATGTAAGCTTGTGCCTTTTAATAAAACGTATTAATCAAGAAAAGGTGCTCTCACAGTCCTTCTGATTTTACATTTTAATTGGATAATATTATTTCTAACCTTGGTAAACTCTGAAGCATCTGGTTCATTAACTAAAGGCAAATGTAGAGTTCAAAAAATCAGACTGGGGAGAATTATGCCCAATCTGTCCACAAGATAGTACAAGTAGTCCTTGCTTAAAGGTGGCAATTGTGGCTAAGCACTGTGGTTGTAAAGACATGCCAACATAACAGCACTTGTAGTATCTCAGTAGCTATCGTTAGATGAATCCCGCACGATCATGGCATCACCATTTGCGATCTCTTACCATTTTCTCCATTGACTTTACTTGTCAGAAGGCAGTGAAGGTTGCAAATGATGATCTTGGGACTGTGGTATGCTGTGATGTTATAATTGCAAACCATTTACCCAGTGCCCAAATCAGAATCAGGTGACCAAGGGGATGTTGTGACTGCCGCAAATACGAGGACCTGTCATAAATCGCCCTTGTTCCATGCATTGTAACTCCGAATGGATTACCTGTTAAGTGCTTCAAATCCCACCCAAACAAGTCCAGAATTAAATTTGCCTTAAATAATTGCCCTGTAATGATATTGATGACAGGAAGAGAAAGCTGGCCAGAAAAAAAGATATAATTAAAATATAATAACAAAACATTTTATCAATAAAATATTCAAATAAAGTTATTCCACATTAGGGGAAAACTTACATTGTCTGTCAAAAGACATGAATATCCGTCTTATTTCACTATGGCAAAAGTGTGCAACTTTCTTTGTTGTCATAAGATTTAAAAATTCTTCAAGTGATAATCCTAAAAAAAATATGATTAGTCATGTATCAATAGAAGTAAATAATTATTCTTCCAACAAATAAAATTCAAGCATGAAAGTACAGTCTATGTAATCTTCTACATGAGTTTTTTTACTTTATTTATTTATTCAATTTATTTGCTGCCTATCTTGCAGTTCAGGCGACCCTGAAGTTCATTGCAACTTATTCCCAATTGTGTATACAGGATTAATGCATCACAGGGTTTATAAATATAAATATATATATATATAAATTTAGATAAACTAAGTACTACTATATTGACCATGTGTAGCTTTTTCAAAATAAGTTTCAAATATTTGCTAGAGAATATCATTTATCACACACCTATGTATAATAGCAATGCAAACTAACTTTATTACAAAATATGCAAGTATATAATGAATATTAATTTAAACTAAAATGTTCTTATAAAAATTAAGAGACTACTCATGACTACATTGTAGCAAGGTTTGTGATCAAATCAAAATTAGTAATTACAATTAACCATAAAGAAGAAAAATGATTCTTTTTTCTGATGATAAGAACATATGACTCCAAGTTGTTACTACAAGTTCTCACTTCCCTTCTAGATAACTTAAGTGCCCTCTGGTATACGTTAGAAGAAAGATGGGACACAAAAATCCTGTAATAATCTGAAAGTGAAAGTTAGTAGGAAGATTTAATTAAAAAATAAAATATAAAAACTAACTTTAACTGAATAAAATGTGGGTTAGTGGACATTTTAATAAAATCAGTATAAAAATACAAAGTCACAAATATATTTTGCAGCACACAAGAAATATGAACGGAATTGTTATCCATCTATCCATCTTAAAATCCAGAACCAAACCCATTTGTTTTGTTTCCATATTATATTATTTCGGCCAATTAGAACCATCACATATGATTATTGTTTCGCTGAAGTGTAAACAATGTTACTCCCACAATTAATTTATAGAAATGTCATATTTACAAATAGGTTTCCGGTTTCCAGGATTTACAATATCAATGTGGATATTCACTTCTATCTTCCCAGTGCGCTCAGCACACTGGGAAATAATCTTGAGCAGATCTGGGAAATACAGCGGGAGCATAAAGAAAAGAATTCCTGTTGCTTAACCATATTAGGTTTGGCTCATATTCTGAAGCAATAATTGTACTAGGTATATGCAATTTCCCCATCTTCCATAATTTTAATGTAAACTATCACAACTAAAAATAATCAAAATGAATATTTGCAACGATGTCCAAAATGTCTCTAATATTTAACAAAATAACTACATCAACTTTTCAAACCCTGTAGTTTTTGATTAAGCTCTTATCATCAGTGCATAATAATAGATTTTCATGCTTATATAATACCAAATGGATTTTGTTTCATAGAGGCCATAGCTGAATCCGCTTCCATCTAAAATAGAAAAAAAGTATTATGAACAAAAGATCCCTTAAATGCTCACACATAAACTAATTCTTCAGAATTATTAGGATAAATACATATTTATCTTTTTTATTCCACTTTATTTTTGATCTACTTCTTGTTTCCCCCACAATCATCCTGTGCGAACTCAACATTAAGAGCGAGATCAATCAACGTTTATAAACATCTCATAGATTCTAATTGAAAAGTCAAACACATAAATTTATAAAACCAAAATTAATAAAATTTGAAAATACTTAATTGAGTAGTAACACTGGTAACAATGTCTCCAGTAACTTATGCTAAAGAATAGATAAGAGAATCAATTTTTCAAATATCAAAATTAAAATTGCTTTTCTCAAGACGTAATCTGGTAATTTTACAATTAAAATGAAAAGTTTAAGACTTTTCCAGGCTCAATGCACCCACTGAAATGAAATGAACCTAAGATAGCTATGACCAAATAAATGCCAATTCAACATATTAAATCAAGTTGTTGTAATTGCATTTGTTAAATGTGGGTTTAAAAATTGGTGTTAATGTTTGGCTTAGCATAATATGCTAAACCAGTGGTTCTCAAACTTTTCTTCATCACAGACCCCCTTTAAATATCTTTTGGCCATGGCCACAGACCACCAAGACTTAACTCAAGATTTAAATCATAACATTTCTCCAAGCTTCTGCAGATCTCCTGTGATGACATTGCAGCCCCCACTGTGCTAAACCAAAAACAACATAAGAATCAAACTACATTAATTCAGGTACAGTATAATCTGTAATTCAAATTCCTCATGCAGTACTGGCAACATTACTAAATGTCACTGAACATGGTTTATAATTTTTGCTGGCAATCGATGATTTGCTATTACATCAAGACTATGCAATAGCTTATATTTTTCCTCTGGGTTCTATTACTTAGGTAGGACTTATGAGATGTGCCTTCTCTGTTGCTGCTCCTGTCCTCTGGATTTGTCTGGCCCCAACCCTGCTGATCTTTCAAAAGACATTAAAGGTTTTTTTTCTCAAGAATTGGATCTGGGGATGATATGACCTGCTGGATGATATTTCCTGGCACTTTATGCCTATCTACCTCTCTGTTGTGGTTTTTGTTTTATTATGTATATTGTTGAGTTATTATTGTTCAATAATGAAGTATGCTGACATGAGATGACTGCCTGGGCAATGTGGGTAGCTATATAAATCAAATAAATAAATAACTCAAAAGCGGCAGTGGGAAATCAGACTGTACAGGAGAACAACATAGGCTCAGGAATGGCAAAACGTAGTTTCATGTTTAAGGTGAAGTAAAACAATACAAATATTAAATAAATATTAAATGAAAATTAAACCAATCTTGTCAAGATCAACATTCTCTTCTAGCATCAAAGGAACTATTTTTGATAAAAATGAAAACTCTACTTGCTACTCCTATTTTTATTTGATTAATTATTGCTGAATTTATACTAATACACTGAGTGAAGGTCTGATTTGTTCAGCTCTGTTACACCAGAAGCTTTTGGTATTACCTCCTCAGAATTCTGAACCACCTTACATTAGTCCCAAACCACAGTGCTTCTCATTGATTTTTTTTTAATCTGGGAGTGATTTCTGCTTTTTTTTCCCTCCATGAGTTGCACTTTAAACCTCAATAGTCCTCCAAACCAGCTCTCAGCTCAGGAATGACACAATACTAGGATTCAGTTGGAAATCCCAATATTAGTATTTAATCAGCTTTTTGTCTAGTCAATGTAATTGAAAATAACCTAGCTTGAGATTGGATTTTAAGTCCAATAAAAGACAAATGCTTACACAGTATTCTAAGACATTTTCCCATTGGCTGAAACCATCAGATGTTCAGTCTTTTAAATTTATATACAGGACTGAGTACAAATCACACAGCAAGAACATTCTTCTCTTAGCACAATTTGTCTCATGACAACTGATATTTGCACTCAATACTGTAACATATTTGTCAGCATAACTGTCTTTTCATTTAACACAGAAGGAAAAATCCTGTACACTTATAGTGACAGCAGTGGAATAAAAACCAAACAAAGCTGAATTTACCACGGATGATATTGCAGTAAAGCTAAATGGCATTTTAAAGTACAGAAGCAGTCTGTCTGTGGAGGCTCTAAGTCATCCAGGTCATAGTTGTCTCAAAGGTGCTTTTTCAAAAGGCAACTGGACTCTTTTTTCTTAAGGAAGGAAGGAAAAAGACGTTTCATTTCTCATCCAAGAAGCTTCATCAATTGTCCTTTTCTTTCTCAAGAAAAACAGTCCAATTGAAAAAAGCACCTTTGATACAGAAGCAATCCTTTTCATCTATAAACCAGATTGCTTCCATCACCTTTGAGAAGCAGGAAAGTGCCTCTTTACTGTTTGAGGTGCTATATACAGTTTGTGTTCTCTCCCTACTAAAAAATTTATAACAAGGGTTACTCTGGGTACACCTACTGAATTCTACTACCGTGTTTCTCCAAAAATAAGACCCGGTCTTATACTTTTTTTGCCTCCAAAAGAGGCACCAGGTCTTATTTTCGGGGGATGTCTTACCAGCTTACCTTAGGACCGCTGCAGCCAGGACTTCCATGCTCCGACACCTATCGTGCTGCTGCTTGAGTTCTTCTGTGGCCGCTTGTGGCGTATCATGCTGCTACTGCTGCTTGCAGCAGGCCACGTAGCTCATGCCGATTGTGCCGCTGTCGCCGCTCGCAGGATGCCGTGTGGCTTGTCACACCAATCGCGCCACTGCTACTGCAAGCAGCAGGAGGCCACATGGCGCATCATGCCAATCACACCTGTGCTGCTGCAAGCGGCAGGAGGCCGCAAGGCTCGTCATACCAATCATGAGTGTGCGATCGGCACAATGCACCACATGGCCTCCTGCCGCGATCAGCAGCAGCGGCACGATTGGCGCAACGAAACTTGTGGCCTCTGGCTGCGAGCAGCGGCAGCAGCATGATCGGCATAATGCACCTCGTGTCGAGGCGTGGGAGACCTGGCTGCAGTGGTCGTAAGGTAAGCGGGCGCAGGGCACATGGGGCAGCTCCATCTCCTCATCCCCGCCCTAGCTTGATGTTTAGGCGTGTGCCTCGCCCCAAAACTAGGGTTTATTTTTGGGTAGGGCTTATATTGGGCACACGTGTAAAAATCAAGGTAGGGCTTGTTTTCGGGATAGGGCTTATTTTCGGGGGAACACAGTAGCTTTGGGAGGCTGAAGCTTAGAACAAGGGGCATTGAGAAGCTTATCTGCACTATCTGAAAAAGATAGCAAGAATCAAGTCTTTTAAATTTTTAAATAATTCTGAAAAAATGTTCTTTGAAAACTTCATATTAATAGAGATTATTTGATGTCTAGTGTTCAGGATATTGAAAGAATAAGCCAATCCTCAATATAAGAAATAAATGGTACCTTTGAGGGTTTATAGCCAAAAAGCATCACTATAGCAACTTTATAGTCTTCTCGGCTTAAGTATCCTTTGTTGTTTTCATCACATGCCTCAAATGCCTAAATAAAAAATAAAGATAATTAAGATTTTAAAAACTCACTATTACTTATCTTGATATATACTAGCACGGTGAAAATCCTTCAAAATGTGCTTTAAAATATATAATAACATATGCCAACGTTAAAACTTTTAAAGCAACAAAGTCTTTTTAAAGTCTTAGTAACTGTTTCAGAAGCTGTTCCCGATTCTATCTGTATGTTTGGGCATGAAAGAAACATAGTTATTTCACCATAATTTTAAATTAATTTATTTTTAAAGGAAGTGGTTTGCAAACTTAAACAGCTCCATTTTAAAATTTTAAATTTTATTGTCTGTAATGTAATGTATAATGCTATGTATATGCTAGCTAACCCCTGCTCTGTGGGTCATTGTTTCAGAGATATTTCCTTATCCAAACAGTGAAATCAAATGACCATGGGGTGGCAAAAAAAGCAGTGCAAAAAAAAAAAAAAAAGGAAAGTTATAACCAGTAGCCAGCACAGGTTTGTCAAAAACAGATCATGCCAAACAAATCTTATTTCATTCTTTGAGAAGTGACTAAATTAGTGGACCATCAAAATGCTTTGGACATAGTACCAAATATATACAACCAACTTTTTAGTAAGTTAGAAAAATGTGGGATAGACAGCATTATCACCAAATGGATTTGTAACTGGCTGACAAACCTCACTCAAAATGTAGTCCTTAATGGAACTATATCTACATGGAAGGAAGTATGCAGTGGGGTACCCCAAGGTTCTGTCTTAGGCCAGTACTTTTCAATATCTTCATAAATGATTTAGATGAGAGAATAGAAGGGGAACCCTTCAGATTTGGAGATGAAACCAAGCTGGCAGGAATAGACAACACCCAGAAGATAGACTCCAGATCCAGAAAGATCATGACTGACTTGAACACTGGGCCCTATCTAACAAAATTCATTGGTGACAAAAGTAAGATTTTACACTTAGACAAGAAAAATGAAACACACAGGTATGGAATAGGACAGTGATGGCGAACCTTTAAGACACTGAGTGTCCAAACTGCAACCCAAAACCCACTTATGCATCGTCGAGTGCCGGGTGGGTGTGGCCCATTGGCTGGGTGTGGCTGCGGTGGTAACGGCAGACTGTATGGGACTAAAAAGTTCAATCAATCAATTCCAACTTTGCAAGATTTTTTTTTCCCGCAAGAAGTTGAAATTGACTGATTGAACCTTTTTTTTTTTTGCACACAGTGGCGGAGGCCTAAAGTGAAAATGCTTTATAAAACCCAGCTGAAGGCCTAGGACTGGGGCAACGGCGCACATGCCCACAGAGAGGGCTCTGAGTGCCACCTCTGGCACCCGTGCCATAGGTTCGCCACCACTGGGATAGGTGAAAGCTGACTCAATAGCAGCAATTGCAAGAGGGATCTTGGAGACCTAGTGGACAGTCACTTAAATATGAGCCAGCAGGTGTTTCAGCCACCAGAAAAGCCAATGTAATTCTAAGTTGCATTAACAGAGGGATAGAATCAAGATCACATGAAGTGTTAGTACCGTTTTGTAATGCCTTGGTGAGACCACACTTGGAGTACGTTTCCTGACAATTAGAACAATTAATCAGTGGAACAACTTGCCTCTAGAAGTTGTGGGTGCTCCAATACCTGACGTTTTTAAGAAGAGATTGGATAACCATTTGTCTAAAATGTTATAGGGTTTCATGCCTAAGCAGGGTGTTGGACTAAAAGACCTCCAAGGTCCCTTCCAACTCTGTTATTCTGTACTGCATCCATTTTAGTTGCCACAATATAAAAAAGATGTTGACTCTGGAAAGATTGCAGAGAAGAGCAACAAAGATGATTAGGGGGTTGGAGACTAAAACATATGAGGAACGGTTGCAGGAATTGGGTATGTCTAGTCTAGTGAAAAGAAGAACTAGGGGTGACATAATAGCAGGGTTCCAATATTTGAGGGGCTACCACAAAGAAGAGGGGGGTCAATCTATTTTCCAAAGTACCAGAAGGCAGGACAAGAAGCAATGGATGGAAAGTAATCAAGGAGAGAAATAACCTAGAATGTGGTGGCATGCAGAGCCCTCTCTGTGGGCATGTGCACCGTGGCCCCTGTCCTAGGCCTTCAGCTGGGTTTTATAAAACCTTTTCACTTTAGGCCTCCGCCACCATGTACAAAAAAAAAGGTTAAATCAATCAATCAATTTCAACTTCTCGCAGGAAAAAAAAGGATCTCACAAAGTTGGAATAGAGTCTCCTACTTGAACAGGGGTTGGACTAGAAGACCTCAAAGTTTACTTCCAACTCTGTTATTCTGTTATTTTGTTATTCTGATTCTATACCACCACCTTGGTGTGTAATAAAATAAATTTATTAAATTTATTTGCTGCCCATCTCATTTCGAAGCAGCTTTGAAGCTTAGAATAGTATATTATAGCATATGCATAGAAAGGCACAGTATAGCATGCCATAGCATAATATAGTGTTATAAATATAATAAATACAATATGCTAAACATAATTAATACTATGGTATTACTATTACTATAGGCTGATCCATTAAAAATAATGCTGGGTAGACCAATAAACTTTTGCCTTTAAGCTAGCACACCTGGCAAGAAGTAGTAAGGAGCTGTCCACTATGAAGGAAAAAGCCCTTTCTGCCTTTATCAGATAAACAGTAATCTAAACATAGTAAAACAATTACTTAAAACAATCCATTCATACTCCACACCATTCGAAGGGTGTTCATCCCAAAGTGCATAGCTTAATGTCTATGGAAATTCTCAGTCATCCAGGTGCTTTTTCAAGAGGCAACTGAACTTTCTTGTTTTTCTTTGAAAACGTTTCACTTCTCATCCAAGAAGCTTTTCAGCTCTGATTGGATAGTGGGAATCTAATCAGTAAAACCCAAAATCCCCCCCTTTTTTTAATCATCAAGTTTTTGACACCCTGCTAAGCACTGGTGGTACTCAAATATTGTCATGTCCTAAAAGTGGTACAATCTGTGAAAAGGTTGAAAAGCCCTGCTCTAAATAATGCAAATGACCAGCTGTCTGCAATGAATATAAATCCTTCCATTCCCCACCATCCAGTCAGAGCTGAAAAAGCTTCTTGGATAAGAAGCAAAACATCTTCAAAGAAAAACAAGGAAGTCCATTTGCCTCCTGAAAAAGCACCTTTGGGACAACCATGACCTGGATGACTGAGAATCTCTACAGACACTGCTCTCTTGAGGTTTCTTTCAAACTCTTTTGTCTTCTTCTCTTGAAACTATTTTTTCAACAAAGCTAATGGTGCAGTGAATTTGGCAGTCCTAACCATTTAAGACCAATAAAAAAGAGTTTATAATGAAGATTCACAACTTGAATATCTTTCCTCAACAAATGGTACCTACAAATGGTACCTATTATTTTCAGCAGCTGCTAAAATAATCACAACATAAGAAAATGTCAAAGCAATCCTGAATTGAATAATAGTGGTAATGCAGTTCAGAAATATTTTGATATTCTTTGAATGTATATGAAAGAGATTAGAGAAAGTACACATGAATCTAATAATGCTATAATTCTCATTAAATAAAGATCTCAGCCTCTTTTAGTTACATGCAGCAATCATGCAGCAACATGCCTTTAAAATAATCCAAAGAGAAAAGAAAAATGACAAATTGCCTACTGATGATCACTAGAAACACTTTGTGAAGAAAACTGTTAATGAAATCCATGAACAAATTATCAGGTCCTGAAAACACACCAGGGCTACTTCAGAATCTTTGAATAACGATTAAAAGAAACAACCAATAAGCTTTATTTTAAATTTTAGATATCAATTACAAATACATTAGAGATTATAAGACTTTTGGAAGTGAGCATAAAGCAATTATCACATTCTAGACAACTGGGAAAGATGGATATAATTCTAACTTTCATTGAAATTTTAATACTGATGTTAGTACAATCCATAAACAAGCTTCCTACCTGGCTAGAATAAAACTTTTAAAATCCCCATCTTCCAGGCATAATGCATGTCTAAACATGTAACATCATTACATTAATTCAGATTAAAGTTCATTCAATATAGGGTGTATGCCCATGGTATCACATAGTACAGAAACAGCACTAACTGATGATCTTTAATGATGCATCTGTCCTGGTTGATCTCTCAATCATGATATCCTTCTGGACCAACTATGGGTTTTGGGATTATGAGAAATGATGCTGCAGTGATATTAGACCCGTAGGTGAGGTCATCCATCAGTATGGGGTTAGGTAAAATCAGTAAACTGATTATGGTTCTATGTCTCAGACCCTATTCAACCAAGTAATATTGTCAAAGTTTAATCCTAGTTCTTGGAATCTGTGATGATCTGGATGGAGGCAACAGACTCAAGCTCAAACCTAAGTTCATGAACTTACCATTCTTGGGGATTTTGCAATTAATACACCTCTCTATATAATTGATACGCAATTTGGGGAAGTTCTTGGATTCATTGTTTCGGTTTAAGGAGAGAGTTGCAGCTGTGGCCAGGATGGCCTTTATACAAATCCAACTTGTGCACCAGTTGTACCCATTCCTGAACTGAGGGCCCTATTCACAATCATTCATGCCTTAGCCACCTCTCATCTGGATTCTGGCAAATCACTTTTCTTGAGCATGCCCTTAAAATCCATTTGGAAATTTTAACTGGTGCAGAAAAAGACAGTACAAGCAGATTATGATATGTCCATATAAAACCACTCTACCACTACCAGTAGGCTTCCAGGTGCAATTCAATGTGCTGATTGTCATATATAAAGCCTTTCATGTCTTAGGCTCTGTTATTTGATGGACTATTTTTTCCCATGGCTTCTGCCTATAATATGAAGAATAATTGCAGGAACCAAGTGTATTTAATTTAATGAAAAGAAGGATTAGGAATATCTTCCAATATCTAAGGGGCTGCCTCAAAGAAGAGGGGGTCAAGCTATTTTCCAAAGCATCTAATCAAGGAGAGAACCAATCTAGAAATAAGGAGAAATTAATTAGAATAATTAACAGTGGAACAGCTTGCCTTCAGAAGTTGTCGGTGCTCTCTCACCGAAAGTTTTTAAGAAAAGATTGAACAACCATTTGTCTGAAATGTTAAGGGTCTGCTGCTTGACCAGGGGTTTAGATTAGAACAGGGGTCCCCAACCCCAGTCCATGGACCGGCACCAGGCCGCAGCATGCCAGCAACCAGGCTGTGCAAACAAGGGAAGCCCCATTCGCAGGATGCAGGCAACTTGCGAAGCCACATCCCTCCAGTTTGTGGAAAAACCTCTCTCCACAGAACCGGTCCCAGGTTTTACAGGGGAGAACCAGCACTTCATATTGCACTTGGAAACATATTGGGAGCTTAAGGATATGTTGAGCAGCACCCATAACTGCCTGTCCTGCTGCATTCTGGACCAGCTGAAGTTTCTGGATATTCTTGTAATGCACTTGAGTGCATTGCAGGATCCACTCCGGAGGCGATCAAGGCAGATCCTCCCAATCCACAAAAGGACACAATTGGCACACAAGACGAAGTTATATTTTGGCACGTGTTTGGGGGAAACTGTTTTTTTTCTTCTTCCAGTGTTTCCTTGGAAGCATTGGTAGGGTTAGGGATCTTTAGCAGTTGGGAATCTTTAGACGAGACGAGAAAATACAGGGACTTCGACCATAAAAGCCCCGTTTCAAATACCTACCTTAACCCATCGCTTGTTACGGTACTTCTCGGCTGGGCAGTCTTTTGATTTCGCTGCTTCTTTAGGAGCCGCGCACATTGCCAACAGCAGAGGCACCGCCAACTAGCATGAAGCTTTCCTTAGCAACGGAGCGACTCTTCACAATCAAAATGCGGGTTGTCAGCGGCAGAAGGTGCGAGAAAATCCCATTGGAGGAATGGGGCGGGGGAAAAAAAGCTGGTTCATACCCTAAGTCAGGGGTAGGCAACCTCGGCTCTTTTATGACTCATGGACTTCAACTCCCAGAATTCCTGAGTCAGCTATGCTGACTCAGGAATTCTGGGAGTTGAAGTCCATGAGTCATAAAAGAGCCGAGGTTGCCTACCCCTGCCCTAAGTTCTTGATAAACGGCCCAATCATTGGTAGCAACGGGCTGTCGATCATGGGCTCCAGGGGAAGAAGCTTTACCCGGAAGAGGAAGTTTTTCTCCCTTGTTCTCTTTTTAAGTTTCACTGGTGGGCTGCTAGTGAAGAAGAGCTTCCCTCCTGGGGTGTTTTTGGGAGTTATTTTCCGTTTCTTGTCTTCTACTTTCTTCCACTTATATAGCTTGTTCCGGTTTGATTTCTAGCGCGCAGTGTACCTGCGGTTCCCTGCCTTATATGAACAGATTCCCGCGATCGTTTTCTGCTCCGTGTTAACAAAGTGTGCGACGTGGCTGGCGATGGATTTAAGTATATAGCAGTGGCGAACGACTTAAAACAACTAAATTCAGGACATTGAATTATCCTCATGTACTGCCTCCTGCCCAGCATATTTTATTAATCTGTTTTATATCGATTATGGCTTGCCCCTGGTGAACTAAAAAAGATAGAAAACGAGTTTGCCTGTTACAGACTTACTGCTTTTAGGAACGGAGGGCAAGGAGTGTATAAACAACCAAATACAGTTGAATTCTCTTTGGATGGCCCTGAATGGGAATGTGTGAAAGCTGAAGGCACAGCATGATAGCTAATTGACTGAAGGGGCTTCTGCACTGTGAGAAGGTGGGAGAAGTAGACTTCTCACTCCTTTAGACTTTCCTGGAGATTTCTCTCTCTTTTTCTCTTGATACAGGCTATCATGTCTCAGGAAAGTCAGCATGGGAAATGGACATTGTCCAGTAGTGAAGACAGTATGGATGAGTTAGTTGATTCTGAGAAGCCTTCTACCTCTGTGATGCAGAGAGGTCAGGAAAGTAAAAAGAGTAGCCACTCTTGCTCGGAGGCAAGGAAAGCTGCTCACAAGAGAAAAATGTCTCCTCTGAAATATGTAGCTGGAAACCTTCCACAGGAGGAGGCCTCAGATCAGAAATTTGCACAGGAAGACTTTGGCTGGTGTCTTTCAAGTAGTGAAGATGAGGATCTTAAAGCCTCGAGTGGAACTAGAGATGCAATAAGTACAGTCAGAAAAGCAGAGAGCGGTACATCCATGGAGCTGCCAAAAACTTGTAAGATTTCATCAAGTTGCAAGTCTGCAGTCCCATCTGAAGTGGAGGACACATGGGATCTGTTGAATGGGCAGAACCCTTTCAGATTCTTCCTCACTAAAGTCAAAGGAATTAAGTCAAAATACAATTCTGGAGCTCTTCATATAAAAGGTAAGCAATATCAAGGCAAAAATACTATGGGGAAGATGTTCCTAAAAGTGCTAGATGCTTTGTTTTTCTAAAACAATTATACATGCTGAAACTGGCATATAAGCAATGTAATGCAGTAACAACCTGATGCCCTAACATTATACCCACCTTTCCCGCCTGATCAAGCTTCCTATTTGTTAATTTTTTAAAAACAATTAATTGATTAAAAATGAATGGGAAACTAGCAGCTGTAGAATATCAGTCTCAAGGATAGTCTGCATTTTCAACAATGCCTCTGGGCTCCACATAGACCCTAAAGGTATTAGAAACTAAATTGGTGGGTTCTTCAAAATGATCCTACTGATCCAGAAAGACTAGAAGAGCTTAAGAATTTCTTACATAATTACCAAATTGGCTTCAACAATCAATTATATTATGGCCAAAATGGCCAGACAATTGAATTTTTCTGTGCTTTATGATTGGCATTGCAAAATACAAATGAACTCAATTGAAAATAATAAAAAATAAAATAAAGAAACAATAGAATTGCTATATCTTCAATATCTGTGATGGTTTGTTTTTGTAAGTTATATTTTTTAATGTATTTATCAAAGATATTAAACACATATCTTAATTTAACGCCTTCCTTATTTTGCTACCAGCATATGCCAATTGGTTAATCTGCAGGCAGATTCTGTTCTTATCATATCTCAGTTGAATATTTTGCTAGAAACATTCAAAATAAGAAGGCCCAACAAGTCTAAGTTCTAATATTATTTAAATTATGGCTGCAAAAACCTTGCCAAGGTGTACTGAGACACTCTTCTAAACTTGCAACTTAGACTGTGACAATTCGGCTGTTCTTGGAAATGAATACTCAAACTGAACATTGTGATTAGCTTTTTAGTTATGGTTTCAATCAAACCAGGACCAGAAACTATCTTAATTTTGTTTAAATAAATTATGAAATTTAAGCAAGCTGCATATTTTCTAATTTGGATAAACCTAAATATTGCAATTAGTTGAAAATAGACCCAGTTGCTTTCAGTTGGCTGCAGTGGGGGAGGCTGTTTTGTTGCAATTTAACATGTAACTTGCATATAGCATGTGAATTGCATTTACAAAATATATTAAATGATAATAAAAACAGCTGGTTGGACTCACACAGCGAGGTAAACATTCTTAACCATGAACCAGAAAATTATGTCATGGATTTTGTGTTTGGAGTAATCATTTCTTGCTGTCATGTATGTGTTCCTACATCATGGTATAAGTCCTGTAATTTGTTTGGTTTGAGTTTCCTGTAATGTATGAACCTGACCTCGGCAAAATCTAGGCTTAGTTGCTTGATGTTGTTACCCATTTCAGTAGATATGCTTACTAGCAATACATCTTTTTTTTTTCTTATAACAGATATTTTATCTCCTCTTTTTGGGACTCTTGTATCTTCTGCTCAGGTACATTTTATTTTCTTGTCCTTTTAAAATAAAAAGGGAGATCTTTTCTGCAGTAGTCTCAAAATTCAGAATAGTCTTTTGGAAATGTATAATTAAAATAGCTCTGTATTTTAAAAAGGTCCAAAAGCCATGGTAGAATGATAATTTTATTAAAAACAGTATCACAAAATAGGTGGTAGTTCTAAAAGACATGAAATCTTGTGTGTGTGTGTGTGTGTGTACGGCTAACTTTTTATTTCAATGGTATTAAAGAGTAAGTATCATTTTGTATTAATACATTTATGAGTTTAGTTAGATATTCACTAGAAATCTATTAACTAGAGGTGGCAAATCAATATTTGTAATGTTTTAACTTAAGAACTACTTTTATAGTCCTGATCATTAATGCTTGTCAGGATCTCTGAATGCAAAAGTCTAACCAAACTAATTATGATATTTTTAATGTGTTTTTAAATTTTCTTAGTTAGGAACCCAGACTTACTATTCTACAGTAAATCAAGATTGTACATTAACAATACAACCAGATTCTCAGCACTTGCTGTTAAGTAATATAAGTTAGGATCGAAAGTTTGGAGAATTGCTTGTTTAATTCTTGAGAGAATATCCATGCATAAGTTAATAGAATGTGTGCAATCTGGCTCAGTTAGGAGAAACTATGATCTCTCAAAATCCTGGCTTAAATTTTTCATCTGTTTTTGTACATTGTATAAAATGGTATTTGTTAATTTTCTAATATATTAGAATGTTTGTGTTTTTATGGATAAGGCACCATACAAGTCTGTATAAACAAAGGTACAACTTCTAACGTGCTGTCATTCATAGGCATAATATTGCATTCCCTTCCCTTTTGATTTCTAAGAACTATTTTCATTTTTTTTCCCATGGCAAAGTTTAATTATTGTATAGATGTGGAATGGCTGGTCCAGCAATATCCAAAGGAATTCAGGTACATAAAAAAGCTTCGGTGTTTAATTTCAGCTTCCATTTCATATTTTTAATTCATGCATCCTAAGTTTACTGTTGTGGTCAGTATTGTGGGATAAATGTTATTTGCTACACTGAATAAGAAAAATGAGCTTAAGAATACAGCAACAGTATTAATGTTTCATAAGAAGATGCCACTCTTTGAAGAAAACAAAGAGAAAACGTATTTTTACACTGAAGAACTTTAATGTTTAGCACAACTTTTATTTAAGAATATAACATTTGATATGTATTTATAAAAATATTTTCTTAAATAATTTTTAATCTTAATTTAATATCACAAGGTTAGGGTACTATATACTTTTGGTAAATATAGCTATAGCTATTTTCAGTGCTTTCTGGTAGAAAGGTAGCATTTACATGTAGTCCCCACTCTATATAAGAATTCTGTTCTAGAGAACTTTGGTAAGTTGATGTTTAGGTTCCTTGAGTTGTGCATTGTGCGGAAAATGGCAGGGGTTATTTTCATAACCCTTTGTGTCATGTTCATATTATGTTATTCAAGGGCGATAGAACCCAGAGATTGTTACTTGCCTACCAGGTATTCAGATACAAGAAATCGTAGCCAGTATTGGCTGACAGATATGATTGAAAATTCTGGAGATGTAGTCCCAGTGTACTGTGAATACGTATAAAGTTGAGCAACACATAGAAAAGGCAACCTTTTTTCCCTCCCTATGAATTCTGTAAGGAAATACATGTGTTCATTTTTGTTCCCTTTAATTTTTCCTACCAATCTTTTTAAATTGTGCGCTGGTAAATTGTGTTTTCCTCCTTAAATCATCACATTTATGAAGATGGGGATGAAGACAAATGGAAAGGAAACTGAAGTGGGGTTACAAATTTCTTTCAGAGTTTAGAATGGGAAAGGGAGGATACTATACCTGATTTTGCACTTGCCGTGCATAGGAGCTTTCTTCGTGCTTGCATTTGCTTTCTGGGGAATAACTACCTAATTATACAATGTTAGAGGTTAGCATTTTTGAAAGTGGGAAGATAAAGTTGACCCTCCCATGCTGCTGTGAATGCAGGTTACATTTTTAAAGTGGAAGGAAAAAACATGTGAATAAAACATTTCATAATTATCCTTGAGAATGTAGCTCGACATATTTCTAAGATAATTAGGATATTTC